AGTGGACCATAACTAGCGCTACTCTGGGTGCTTTCTTATGGAAATGGTTCCGAGATGTCCTCGCAGTGGTCAGAGTGAAATGACCAGAAAATTTGCGTTTCCTGTTAATGTACAGGGAGCTTCCCTCCACTTCGTACTTAAAGCAACAGTCCCAGCAGGTTTTTACCTTCGACACTAATGGTGTGGAACGATGCGCTAGCCCTAGTCAAGAACATAAGAAGTGTGACTGAACAAAAAACTCACCTTGGAAAGCCGCTAGAAAGGGAGCTGAACGGCTTCGAAGTGGGCGTGGTTGCTCAGTCGGCTGCAATCCCCTCGGCCGACTTCCAACCACGCCCACTTCGAAGCCGTTCAGCTCCCTTTCCAGAGGTTCCAAGGTGTGTTTTTTGTTCAAATCCTAATCCGATCTGGCTTATCAAGCACATACTCACCAACTTTTTCCCCAGTTTCGAGGCTGTTTTGTGACTGAATTTGAAATCTTGGTCGTCAGTACCACTCATTTCGATGCACGCCACGCCCACTGTGGGCGGGGCTCCGCTTAGCTGATGTGTGTTTTGTACTTCTCGAGACCTTGCCCACCCATCCCACACTTGACCCGGTCTCTCCAGGCGGATCTCCAGGAGCTAGGGAATTTCGTGGTAAACGACAATGACAAACAGAACGACAGACGCAGACAAAGCGCTTTATTTATAATTAGTGGAGTCATAAGGTAAGTAATTGTAGGCAACTCGTCCAAAACGTCGCTCCCTTATTTCAAGAGGAAGAGAGGGAGTCTTTATTTGAGCTCTTAGTCGACGGTATGCTTTCTTTTTTTAAAGATTTTTTTCTTTTCTTCTCTCTGTAGGCTATTAGCACTAAATAAGCAATCACAAGTTGAAGCAATAACCCGAGATCAAAATGGGGTAACAGCGAGCGACAATGAAATATGCCGAGACAAAGAAGAGAGACAGGCGGACAGAGAATTGGCTAAAAATAAATGAAAAAAGAAGGAAAGCGTACCGTCGACTAAGAGCTCAAATAAAGACTCTCTCTTCCTCTTGAAATGAGGGAAGGACGTGTCAGACGAGTTGTCTACACTTGACTCCACTAATCCGTGCGCGTTTGACTTGTCGTTAGCCGCCATGTCCTAATTCACGTTGCGTGGTGTGGGGTTGCACGAGGTATCTCGTTCATTAGCTCGCACATTAGCCGTCATTAGCTCACTTTGCAAGGCCCTAGCGCCATTGTCGCGCACTTTCGAGCCGCGACAACGGCAAAGCTGTGACACTCGCGGAATACTCCACCCCACAGAGAATAAGTTTGGCACGACCTCATATGGTGTTGTTCCTTCAATGGGAGAAAAAGGGTTTTTGTTTGAGGCGGATGTAAAGTGGTCGCGAATCAGATAAAGATCTGAAGTTCGACGACAACATTCCGAGCTCAATTTCCAATATTCCAATAGTTTAGATGCACGGAAAGTGAGAATGAACAATGTTGACGTCAACCCACTTTCCATTCAGAAGACCCACGATAGTACGTCAGAGCCAGGGACAGAGCGTGCTCAGGCGCCTTTGCAGACGACCGGTCTAGACCGATTGCTAGCACTTTCCCAATATACCATTGCTGATAAAATCTTCATTTTCAGCTCTGATTTTCGCTTCAACAGAGCTAGTGCAGTAGCAAGAGAGTCATTACCACGCTTATGGTCAGGGGATCAAATCCTGTATCTTAGCTTGCTTACAAGGGGTCTTTCAGGACATGGAGCGTTTTTTAAATGGTTTCTGAATGTTGTAGAGGCTCATGTGAGGAACACAGAACCATGGTCCATTTTTCCTGAACGAATGTCAAAACAGGGGAAGAAATGGTCCAAAGTTCGATCCTCCGTGATGACAAATTTTTGCAATTTATGTTGGCGCCTCCAAATTGCCGCAAAACACGACAATGACATCTATTCTCGACGATGGCGCCATTTGGCGGCAATCTGGGGCGCCAAACTATATTGCAAAAATTAGTCATCACCGGATCGAACTCTGGACCATTTCTTCACCACTGTTTGACATTCCTGGAGGCGTTCAGGAAAAATGGATCATGGTTGTGCTCCCCGCATGAGATCCCTACAATATGCAGAAAACCATTTTGAAAAGCGCTCCATGTCCTGAAACACCTCTCTAGTTAGTCCAATCAAGTCTCCACCGTTGACCAGTCCGTCAAAGACAAAGGTGGCTGCTTCAAAATAAATTGGTAAATTTCTTGGTAGCAGTCCTAGTGTAAGGGTTAAGGTGGTGGGCTATCCGTGCTGTGACTTCATACAAGCAGTACGTACCTTGAGCTTTGGCATTTGTAAGGAAAAGCAACGGCAGCACCAGGAAGAGCAGCATTTCGAGTGCGACGAAACCATGTTTTTGCCCTTGCTTTCATAGCTATTGAAAATGCACTTTAGCTGAGCATGACCGTAAAATGAAGCATCATTCATTGCCATACACCCGCCTAAAAAGTTGCTTTCAAACGGATCTGCCCACAGCATTGTTTTTGTGCCGTTATTGCTATGAAGCCACGTGTCGTCTATCGATGAGGAACATTTTTACCAGGTATTCAGAGAGATACACCGAAAGAATGGCTACCACCAGATTTGCTTCTTCCGCTAGTGTTTCATCCCCTTTCGCAATTTCTTGAACGCGTGGTCGAAATTTTGCTGCCGGATGTATGACATCTAATCCTTTTGGCGTGGGGAGGACCTGCAGTAAGTAAGATGTGTGAAGCAAGGGCAAAGGGCATGGCAGATTCAGAGGGTGGAGTGGTGGCCTTTAAACCCGTGGCGAAAGTTTGGACCTTACTAGTGTCTGGTGTCTGGCCTGTGAAAGAGACGCAGAGGAGCAAAAGGGTGAAATATCACAACACGCCGCGTACACCTGGGGCCGTAAGGTATGCTTCCCCGAATGGTTGCGGGGACGAAAGTCCCTTTAAATTTTTTGTTTTGAACGATACTGTTTCTTTATTTTCAATGCATGTTTACTTTAAGCTACACACATATATTAAATGTAGGCCCTTTATCAGGACAATCCCAGTTGGGACGACAGAGAAAATTTAAAGGGATTTTCGTCCCCTAACCCTTCGGGGAAGCATACCTTACGGCCCCTGGCTCTGGGAATCCGGAGTATGTCAGTCCTGTTGGAGAAATCATACTGTTTTGAAGAATGAAAATTTGAACCAATGCTACTGACTATGGGCTCCTACCGCGGCAGCAGAAACAACATCTTGGTTCGCATCAGTCCCATTCCTTGTTCGTCTTCCGTGCCTCTCATTCCCAATAATAAACAATTATTTTTGGGCGCAATGTGCCTCGGGGGGGACCAGTCGCCGCGCGCGGCCGTGCGGCAACAGGAAATTCGTGAGCCAGGGGGAGTGTAGCCAATTCAGGGGGGTTGGGGGTGAGGGCAGTCACATGACATGCGTGAGAAGCTGGAATGTTCCGTGAGAAGCCGGAATGTTCGAATTTCCTGTTGCCGCACGGCCGCGCGCGGCGACTGGCCCCCCTCGAGTCACATAGCGCCGATTTTGTATAGCATTGATAGGTATCATATAATTGAAACTGCTTGTTTTCAGCTCTCGCATAATATCTATGTATTTTTTTCCAAATTTTTTTAGGAGTGTAAGTGTAAGACTTGAAGAGTAGTTTATCTCGTTCGCACATGCCTTTAGAGGCTATTCAAAGCCGTTTTCTTTAATTTGTTTTATTTAATGGACTAAATTCCTAACACTTCCCGTGATAAATCTAACAAAACAAGAGAAACAGTTCCCAACAACCATTCTTACTGCAAGACAACGCTTTGGTCAACAAAAGGGTTTTGGATACAGTACTAGAATAGAAAATGAGAAAACAAACAATCGGGGATGGCTGGAAGGGCAAACAGCAATAAAAGAACTGAACAGAGGCCGGCCCCTATGTGAATGCCTCTAATTTTGAAAGAATTCAGAAGAAGGCGCATGATCTCATGGATGGGCTGAAAGGTATCCGAGTGCCACTATGAAGTGAATGTCATCGATAGGAGCGCACCTTATTCAACTGTCACACCTGCATCACCTGTCGCCCCGTTGATCATCGAATTGCTCGAGCGGTTCGTCAGCAACATCTCGATATCGTCCCTGTGCGTGCTGATCATCCAGTGGAGCTCCTCGCTGCGAGACCCCTAGCCTTTTCATTCCATACGTTCAAAGTATTCGTGAGAGTCTGAACATCGGCGGCGTCCTCCAGATCGCTCGTGGTCGTTCGGACCAGGGTCAAGCGAGGCGTTGAGGAAAATTTGGAAATACGACCCCCCCCCCCCACCACCCTCCGCCGGAGGCCGAAGTCCATGAAACAACCCTCTTCAAAAGCCGAACTATGAAAAGGTTGAAAAGCTTGTTTGATTCTCCCCCAAAAGCCCTGCTACCCCACCGCCCACAAAAAATTCGTTTAAGAAGTACAAAAGTGAAAAAGTCAAAGAATAATCATTATTGATGAGTCCTACCAAACGAGCAAACGAGAAACAGACCAGAAAACGACAAACTAGCCACTAAAAATGGCATACTATGACAACATCTGTTCTTTATTTATTTCCTCCACAAGACTTACCAAATTCTAGTACTACACAGATTGTGGTTCTCAATTTGCACGTAGCCCTTCAGTTGAAAGAAGCTTTTTAACCGCCTTCGCCAGCTGTGTGTTGACTGGACTTTGGCGTTGACCGTGGAGCAGCTTATTTACTATTGAAATTTGAACAAATATTCAAATGATTATAACTTTCTTCAAAGTTAACGAATTTTCAATCTGAAAGCTGATTTGGGAGTTTTGTGAAGAGCTTTTTCTAATCAGTACTGAAATTACAGGAAGTTATAAGAAATAACAAATTTAGATCAAATAACGAGGAAAATTCGAGACGAGCACGAGTTTTTACACTTTCCGGAGCAATAACTTGCTTCATTTCCGTCAAATTCAAAAAGTTGATACGTCATACAAAACTAGAAGATTTTCTCTACCAAACCGTTGCTAAAGCAGCTTATACGTCCAGTATTCAAAAAATGGCCACGTTGAGGATTTCTGCAAAATTAACGAGGAAAATTTGTGATGAGTGCGAGTTTTTTTACTTCCTAAAGCCATAACTCCGTTCAAACTCATCCAATCCGAAAAGTAAATACGCCATCATAAACTAGAAGATTTGCTCTATCAAATGCTTACTAGAACTGCTCCAAACGTCCAGTATTAAAAAAACGGCTACGTTGAGGATTTTTGCACGAGTACCGCCGAAAGGTACTTTTTCGCTACATTGGCACTATTTCAACGGCTGTATATCCTTTTAAGGGCGATTATGTACTAAAGTAAGAGCAGATTTGGAATCATTGCTTTTCTCTTTCTAAGAAAAGTGATTGATTAGCGTTTCTCAACTTTAAAGGTTACATGTTTATAAATTTAACCCTGAAGAGTCCGTTAACGCAATGTTGAATGGTGTACACCTCCCTGTAAATGCGCACGGACACTTTCAGAATTCTCTCGATTGTTCCTGAATTGAGGTTGTTTGTCCAAGGAGCCGTAGTTGAAGCGCGCGCAACAACTAGACCCTTTCTCGGATGCGCCGTGTACCTCACATCCCTTCAGATTCGGGGTCTTACTTGAAAGATGAAATATCTCTTGGAAAGCGTGCGAAATTCAGATTCTTTAACTTGTGTGGTGATAAAACACTGAAGTAACTAAGAATTACCGGACGCCTCAGAATCACGAAAATTTTGTGTGGGTGAAATATCATTTTCATTGGAAATCCTCTGGCCTGGCATCGACTCATCCTTGATATTTGTCTTCCGACGGTGATGATCCCACTGCATCAAAATGGCTCGATCTCTTCCACCCAGCGGGCCAATACGACCCCCCCCCCTGCGACGTGTCGAGGATTCCTCAACGCCACTTGACCCCCTGCTGCGGATTCCACTCGATTAACTTCATTCTTTGTCTCATTCGTCATTTCACAGAATCGTCATTGACTCTTGTTTTCCGGCCTCACTTTTTAGCCTCGAATTTTCTGTGTCTTATAATCGGTCATAGCGTCTGCTGGATCTTCGAACTGTTGCGTAGCTGACCTCCGGATTCCCCTCTGCACTTGGTGTATAGGGTTACTCCTAGCATCGTCCTCTCGACAGCGCGTTGGATAACGCTGACCGCATGCTCGTCCTGCCTGCGCAGAGTCCAAGTCTCTGAGGCGTAGGTTAGGGCAGGAAGGACTGCGGAATCGAAGAGGTGGGCACGGAGCCGAATGTTCTTTGTCGTATGCGCCTTATTCAGCCAAACAAAAAGTAGGCTAACAGCGAGTAATTATTCACTTTCAAGTGCCTGAATCCTGATCCTGAGGTCTCGAGGTTGCAGTTCCGAGGCTGTCCAGATCCAAAAAAGGTGAGGGACATTGATTTATCGATACGGAATCTCTGATTTGCAACAGATACTCCATCATGCTCCCCACACTGCGATGCTGCCCGCGTGAAAATTCGAAAATTCAGCGAAAAACGAGATTTTGCTTTTCTCATTCTTTTAAAATCTGCTTATCATAAGTTGGTTTTCTCTTCAGTTAAAATACTGTTGAACACAGTTTGTTGAGATTTGTACAACGCTCTCGAATTTTGAAAAGCCTCATTTATCTATCTGTCACGAGTGCATCGATTGCAGAAATGAATTAACTTTTCTGAGCTTGGAAAAACTCAATGGCAGAACCATAGAGTGTGCAGTGCCTGCTTCTCTACCAGGAAGGTCTTTCAGGGCGTGACAAGCTTTTTGAAAACGGTCTTTTGCATGATATAGGGGCAGATGCGGGAACCACAGAACCATGTTTAATTTTTCCTGAACGGCCCTCTGAATACCAGAAAAGGGGTCCCTAGTTCGATTCCTCGTGGTGACAAATTTTTGCATTTCGAGTTGACGTTCCAAAATTCGCGCAAAATGGAGTTAGCATGAATAATTAGTACCATATTCATGATTAGGGCCGTCAGTAACCCCTACAAAAAGACTTTGACTTAAAAATTGGTGTAAGAGGTGTGACATCAAGCAGCCCCACTGTGGTGTCACACCTTTTTCACCAGTTTTTTAATCAAAGTCTATTTGTAAGGGTTACTGACGGTCCTAATCATGAATATGGTACTAATTATTCATGCTAACTCCATTTTGCGCGAATTTTGGCACGTCAACTCGAAAATGCAAAAATTTGTTACCACGAGGAATCGAACTAGGGACCTCCTTTTCTGGTATTCAGAGGGCCGTTCAGGAAAAATTGAACATGGTTCTGTGGTTCCCGCATCTGCCCCTATATCATGCAAAAGACCGTTTTCAAAAAGCTTGTCACGCCCTGAAAGACCTTCCTGGTAAGCTCTCATTTAATTGTGAGAACGGTACAATTGGCAAG